ATATGTTCTTCGTCATTTCTCAATTTATGTCGCTTCGAAAGCGACATACGTTATTTATAAATTTAAATTTGACATACATTATTCCATAATCGGTGAAAATTTATTAAACAGATAAATTTTTTTTTTTTTTTTTTATGAACGCATTATATTATATGTAAATGTATTTTTATACATTTAAGCAAAGAAAAATAAAAAAATTTATCTATTTTTACATTCATCACGTAAAATACAACCACATTGTCTTGTATACAATGAATTATTCTTTCGACAAGAACACGCTTTAGTGCTACAGTTTGTTTTTTGACAACGAGAACAATTAGATTGACTTTTCTGAGTCATTTTCGTTGGAACGAATGTTTCTTGGCTGGAAAAAATGTTCGTTTCATTTGTTTCATCCAAGGATACTTGGTTTTCACTATGTAAAGTATATAATAAATTCGGTTATATTAATATACACATATTTTATGATTTTTTTTTACTTATGTATTCTTTTTGATCTTTTTTTTTAAAAAAAAATTTCTACTGTTTGATTTTTCTTTATGAATTTTTTTAAATTATTATATTATTATGCTTGCAGTGTGGTCCAAATCAGGATTGTGAAAACGGAAAATGTACTTGTCCTGATAATAAAAAAAATTGTAGTGGTACCTGCACTGACACTCAAACTGACAATAAAAACTGTGGATTTTGTGGTCATCCCGTATGTATTCTTTTCGATCTTTTGATAAACTAGGAAATCAGAATATGATGAAAGTCCGAAGCAAACCAGAATTACACAAAATTCCATATATCCAATTGTCAAATGTGAGAGGAATAATTAACCCTAACTGCCGCAACAAATTTTCACGGCATATTCTTGATTTTGATTGGCTAAGAGCGACGATTAACAAATTAGGTCGGAATTACTCGGAATTTTACTAATGAAATCACAGCCACCTTTTTAGTGAAAATTGTTCCTTGGCCAATTTTACCATAGTGCAGGCTTATTTTTCAAAACTTTCTATTTTTGTAATGAAAAAATCAAAAATTTAATTCCGGGCAGAAATTAAACAATTATGTAATGCGGGCCAAATTTCGCAGATCACGGCCGTTAGCCAATCAAAATCGAGAATACTTCGTGATAATTTTGTTGCGGCAGCTATCATTAGTTTCCAGACTTTTTCTGCTCCTATCAGACTAAATATTGCTGTGTAACACGTGAATTAAAATTTATTAGTCCGAGCCATCTAGTTTACTTAGAACATAATATTCCTTGCTACGCTTCGGACAATTATCTTTTTAATTTCCTAACGCTTAATTTTTTAACATTTATTTTCTTTTCTAACTTTTTTTAAAATATTATATTTATAGTGTGATTCTAAAGAGAATTGTGTAGATGGAAAATGTTGTCCTAAAAGTGGACCAGGTGAAACGGTGGAAAAAATAAAACGAGTGGACCAGTTGAAGAAGGTGGAAGAAATAAAACAAATGAAACAAGTGGACCAGTTGAAAAAGGTGGAAGAAATAAAACAAATGAAACAAGTGGACCAGTTGAAAAAGGTGGAAGAAATAAATCAAATGAAACAAGTGGACCAGTTGAAAAAGATGGAAAAAATAAAATAAATGAAACAACTGGACCAGTTGAAAAAGGTGGAAATAGTAAATTTTTATGGTAGAAATAGACGTTCCCTATTTTAAATTTTAATAAATCAATAACGTTTTTGTTTGTTTTTTTTCCTGCAAAAAAAAAGCGACGTAAAATTTGTCATAACCATGTATTTTAATATCGTAAGCTTTATTTCGTTAATTACAAGCAAGACTTAGCTAAATAAAATCATAGAAAATATCAAATCTACCTATGTCACTTTGGCAAATACTTTCGTTGTTTATGAGTCACAAGTTGAAACTATAGTGGCCAAATGTGATGATATGCAATGTTCAGCCGTCTAAGATATTTAAATTAGGTTGGTATTTAATTTTTTTTTTTTAATTAGTATAATTCAGAATTTATTTAATAACTATTAAAAAGTTTTTCAATATTTCATTAGTAAGTTAAGGATAATAGCTAACTTCTTGCCGGCATTGAATATTTCAAAAAGGATACAAAAAATTCGAATCTCTATCGATAGACAAATTAGCGTTTTATCTTTTCACCAAAATTTATCAAAAAATATTCTGAAAGAAAATTTCTATCAGTCTGAAATGAAAGCGTAAAGAATGATCAAACTGTATAAAGAGTACCGAAGAACGCCACAGAAAACAAACCAGATGGTTAAAAAGAAATAAACTATAAATGTTGAAATTCATGTTTATTTGTATTATTCATTGCATTAGATATGTGCTGCAAATTGTTTTATATTATGTTATAATTGAAAAATTAAGACAATTAAAAAAAAAATTAAGTAAAAATTTTGAAGATATTTTCCGGACATCATCTGAACCATCCCCCGAACCCAACCGGTACACATTTTCTGGGTGCCTTAATATAAAGCCAATCATATTGTTTGGTATGCACGATGAACTTATTTAACCAGTTAAACTATTTTCCTTAAATAACTTACAGATTCCTCATTCGAATAATAATCGAATAATTTTGATCATCGAATATTCGTTGAATGACTAATATTATTTGAATAATAAAATTTATTCAAATAAATTTTCTTATCCGAATTATTTGTCAGATAACTATTTATTTAAATATCATCAAACACGAATGTGATTCGAATAACGAATATGAATATGAAGCTTAGCCTCGACATATTAATTTAGATGATTAAGAACTATTTATTAGGTAAAAAATTTATTGACATAGATTTTTCTCGAGTACTCCCTCTATGGTTAATAAGATAAAATCGGTATAACAATCACTTCAACTTAAGACGTTTTCAAGCACCTCAATTAATAAGTTAAAAGTATGTCAAAAATGTGTCGGGAATTAAATTTTAATTAACGGAATGTACTTTTAATCGATCAATCGAGCTTGTCATTAAGATAAGTAAGGTAAGTTTATTACGTAAAAGAAAAATTTAAATAGAAAAAAATGAACAGTGAGTTTACTTTTTTCACGAACTAGCTTTTTTTTTGCGCTGACTTATCAAAACTTTATAAATATTAAAGTTAATAAAATATTCAAGTGTTTCATACTTTTTATTATTACTGTGATTTTTTAATAATTGTAGTGATGCTCAATTGCAACAATAGATCAAATAGAGATCTCAATCAACGCTTGAGATAATTCTAAATTGTTTATTGAAAATTTACAAAAACTATGTACTGATGGGTTTGACACCATGATATTAATACAGTCTACTCTCATTTATGTCAACCTATTTGAATTAGTTTAAATTCATGTTGATAGTAATATTAACAAGAAATTATAATAAAGTTGATATATATGAGAGAATTTTAATATATAATAATTTGTAAAAACTTATGTTCCTAAATATTCCGAAACGATTACGGAATATTCCGAAATTACGGCATAAAAATTTTACATATACCGATACGTACTATACGTACTATACGTACCAGGTACTGTCATAGGCAGACATTCGTATGATTGGCTGTTTAAATCAATTTAATTTTACATTATTTACACAGTTTAAAGTACTTTTTAAAAAAAAATAAAACTACGAAGAATAAACAAAAAAGAAGTATATAGAAAGTTTTATTAGGGTTGTAGGACTCCACTAT